CGCGGCCAGTTTCCAGGCTTACCGGGAGCCCAATCTACCGCCGCCCGATCATGTATCGGCAATATCGGCAGTATTGACTCGCACGTTAGTTCCAGATATAGGGCGCGCCTTCCGAACATACATGATCAAACGAAATTGTTGGGATCTTTTACAAAAGTTAATTAAACCACTGAAATTTTACACAGCTCGTTCTTTATTATCTTTATTTTTATCTCGTTCTTTATCTTTATGCCGAGCAAAATAATAAATCAAACACGAATGGTCGTGGAGATCGAGAGTTTTAGTATTATAATGCAGTTAAATGCAAAGGTGAAAGCGAGCTGGACAAGGATGATGAAAATAATCTTTGGAGAAGGTAACAAGGGGGCCAAAGGACAAACATAAGTAGATCTTTATATGACTCCAAAAACGATCTACTAAGTCTTCTTATTGAAACAAAAGCAGGACTACTATTAGAAGCTCGCTTGCAGTGCACTTACGAATAAGCAACGATATGACGTAATTCGTGATAGATGCATAATCCTACTGGGGCAGCACAGAGCAACGCAGACACAAAGTCGAGAAAGAAGAAGATCTCCCCCATTCAACGAAAGCTTCGCTGTCGCCAAATGAGCAGTTCTTTCTCGAAGGGCGTCCAACAAACACAGCACGAGAATTCCACGCACTCCGACGTAGAAAACGGCCATTACCGAAAAGTTGGCTTGGACGTATTCCAGACGTTTTCGACGAAAAACCACGGCCTAGTCAGCAACGCACGAAACAAAGAGAACACTGAAGAGCGCATTTCGGAAACCGTACCTACGTAACCCCTACACCGATCCCCATAACTTGGCAAGTTACGGTCCCAAGGATCTCACCAGCGCGTCAGAGCGAGTCACGTGACAAATTTCCGTCCAAGCGATTTTCTTCTATTGAGAGCGGTCACATGTTTCACGCCACGCTTCTAATTTGCTTGAAGCAGCGGTCCAGCTCGCTGACAGCCACACGAAGACACAAAACATCGTGGGGAGGCTTAACAAAAGGCGATGTCGAAGGGGGTACATAATGCAGGTAAGCTCCCTCTCGTTTCTTTGTCTGTCCTCCTTGGGATAAAAGTAAGCAAATTCTGTTTTGCTTATCTTTTTTTTTTTTTCAAATTCGGTTTTGAGTTGGTCAAGAAATTCAAATAACTAGCCAGCATGTCCAATTGACAAACGACACTCCCCACACTCAACGGGTACGGTATGTCAGGTTGGCGTCGGCGCTACCCTATCTGATACTTGACAGATATCGGCTAGATCAAAATGGTACCGGCACAATTTTTCTAACTTCATGCAAATATTGGCGCAATACTGTGTGCTGCCTGGGAACATTTTATTTCAAAGCGATATTCTGTAGAGCAACCCTGCATGAACCTCCCTTGCCCGTGTTGATGTTAGTCGCACCGCACGATCGTTGGTCAACAAAAATGCAATAAAAAAAGGCTCAAGGTACACCTAAGCACTTCTTATGACTTGTGAATGCGAAAACATGCACGCCGTTCTTGCACCTCCCTTCTCTCGTCTGCGGCGTGCGTGCGTACGTGCGTCGAAGGTCGAGCGCGCGCTCAGTCTTCGGAGCGCTGACCTTGGGCGTGGAGCGGTCGAACCGTTGCCTCGCGGACACGAAGCGCCATGGGGTGCCGGTCGTTCAAACTGACACGCAGTGGCCAATGCGAGGCTCGTCGACGCGCACCAGCCAATGGACCCGAAGCCGAAATCCATCAGCTTTACTCCGCTCCTTTCGAATCGAGGAAACTATGTGTCGTTTGGCTAGGCTTTTCACGTAGTTTCACAGCTGGGAGCTGGTTTCACCTGGAGAAAGGAGTCAAGGTGCCGTTTGGCGCAGCTTCAAAGCTCATGACGTCGGCTCGCTCCATGGGACAGCTAATGTTTTCGCATTAAAATACGTCCTCTATAACGTTCATGACAAATCTGCTACGCCTAAAAAGTAATCACTAGTTCTACCTCTCCGCGATGTTCTTGGGGTTTTGTGAATCCCTAAGTAAAATCCATGCATGAAGGGCAGACAATCGTCTTTAATCATCGAGTAAAGACTCGTTCACATCGTTACGTTTGAGTGCGATTTAATACGTCACGATCACATGTGGTTGCTTACGACGATAGAACAGACGTGCACAAGAGCGCCGTCTTTCAGGCAACCCCGAAACCACTACAATCTGTGTATCACTTGTCCTGTGTGCTTCTTCGCATTTTTTCGTTTTTTTCTCTCGCTATTTTTAATATGAATAAACCAAAGGCTTTGCCGTGCTTGTGGCATGTACGCGCCTCTCTTGAAAAGCGGTCATTTACAACATTTTCATAATTATTTTAAGTCGCTGACAAGAGACACACGCGTAAGAATGCGGGCATGTAGGTATATTATTCTATGCGTACCCAATAGACGGCGTCAGCGTGTTATCTTCGATAGAGTTCCTGTATATAGCTACCTACGGTAGCAGAGTTGCGCATTCAGCCGCGGCGGGTGGACGTAGCGCCGGCTTTCCCGCACGCCCTGGATGCTTTGCTCCTCACGTTACTAAATTCGACGACTAGCGGCGCTGCGCGCGCCGCCGCTCATGGAAAACAGGAGAGGATAAAAAGGAGGCGGAAAGCAGGGGAACATACGCCGGGGCGCGAGCAACGTCGGCGGAGCGACCGTAAAGGCGGCTTTCTTGCACGGCGCCGGATGCTTTGCTCCTCACGTGATGGATGCCGGCGAATAGCGGCGTGGCGGCGAGGGGAAAACAAATGCGCAACTCTGCTCCCCCCTCGGGGGAGCATAGCGAGGAACTCTAATCTCCGAGTAAGCGGCCACAACCGAGACAAGTTGTCCTTTCATATCCAGTGACCGGTTCCCGCGTGGACTGGGCCTACGAGGAGGCGGAAGTGACGAACAGCTTCGCTCTCGAGTTTGAGCCAGGAAGTAGCTCGCCCGATTCCCACAAGGGTTTCCTTCTTCCCCCCAAGTACACCCTGCCCAAGGTCGAAGAAACCTGGGCAGGCATCCGCGCTGCCATTGGGCCCCCTGAACAAGTCGTCATGGCGCAGTGCACACACTTTCTAGAGTAAATGACAATTTATTAAGAAAAAACAAAACCGCACGGCGTGGCGGGCATTGAACCCCCTCGGTGTCACTCCGCACTCAATGAGACAGCTGTATTAACCGAGAAAAAAGTCGAAAAGCGAATCGCGAAACAAGAAGACTGAACATGAATAATCCACAGCCGAGTTCATTTGCTCGAGGAACAAAGAGACAGCCAATCAAGGCGAATGATAGAAGGATCTCAGCAAATCAAAAAGCTGGAAATATGGTGAGATAAAAAAAAGAATGCAATGTGCACAGTGCAAGGAGCATGACCTGTCACTCGCTCAATGTCCCTGGGCACATTGCATTTGTCAGTTCAAACTGTATTCCGAGCATCGTCATACGCCGAGATCCCTCTATTTTTTACCCCGATTGCCTTTTCTCGTGTTCTGCTCGAAAGAGAACTCGCAGACTAGTTTTTAGAGTGTATAGTTTATGGTGAGATCGGCGGTTCACAACGCGAGCAGGAACGTCGGCGTCCGTCCAGAGTACCTCGACGCTTGCTAGCTGCGCCTGTCGCATGATGAACGAGCAATGCAAACGAAAATATCGGGATGAGTGTGAGGTGTCTCAAATAAAATAAAATAAAAAAAGCGGGTTTCTCTTATCGCGAAAATAAACTATGCATTGCCGTATGCTCAGTTTCCGCCTTTGCGTATAGTGCTAGCCGCCCGGACCAAATGCCAAAGTGTCAAAATTTTGCCCGGTGTGATTCAAAAGTTGTCGGTTATCTTTCTTTTTTTATTTCTTGTGATAAAATAAGCCGCGTTTTCTTGACGTTCATCTTCATCTCGCTGATTTTTTTTCTTCTTTTTTGTCTTTATTTTTCGATGACCTTATCACTCGCAAGAAAATGTTGGCTTCTTTCCTCTTTTGCTTTTTTTCTCGAGCCTGACTGGCGAAACGCGCCATTCTCGAAGCCTCAAAAAGCCGATCTCGTGACGAAATAAACCGATCGTTCTTCCGGCAGTAGAGTTGTTCGCTTTTTTCAGTCAGCAGTTCGTGAAAAAGGTAATTAGCGAGTTCCACGCAAAGCTCTTGCTTTCGCTATTCTAAAACTCCCTATTATTGAGTTTTAAGCAAGTAAACAAAAGCTTTGCGTACGCAAAAAAAAAAAATAGCGTACGCTATTGTTCTTTGTAGGATATGCCACACAACGTACACCTCTCTCACTTGGACAGCTCCTTAAATTGGACAGTCCAAGGATGAACTCGAGCTTAGCCAGGCTCCACTACCATTCCCCCTGTGGGTGTGTTTCGATTCGAAAATTATCCGAGCAGCTTCCTATAAGGTGAATATGTAACGCTCTTGAATCTTAATGAAAGAAATTGCCCGGTATAGAAATCTGTTTGCTTTTTAAACCGTTAACATACGTTGCCTGGATTGCCTTTCCGACTGTACTGTTTCCAACGCACATATCTATGCGGTTTCTTTGGCCTTCACATCGTGACGTCACAGTTGTGGAGCGCTGCGGTTTGCCGACATTCTGGCTGTCGTGTCCTCTGTAGTAGCTTGATCAACGGCCGGTCAATCTACAGAAAATCCAACACACACGCTTGGGAAGCCCCATGAGCATACCAATCATTTTGCCCAATTCTTACTTCCCAAAATTATAAAGTCGCGCTGGTTGCTGAAAGATAAGAAGCTGCTTGGAACTCGTCAGGCCTCGACAATTCTCAAGCTGCCAGTGCATAAGCTTTTGCAATAAAATCCCATTAAAATCCCAAGTACCCAATGCCTTGAAAAGTTCTGACCATTCATCTTGAAACAACAAGAATTGTCGAAATAAAACGAAGCAAAAAAATGCAGCCCTATTATTGTTTTAATTCAAGATTTATGTAATTAGGCACTGATAACTGTTCCATACTTTCAATCCCGTAGAGTTTATCTCGATTTCAAACTAGCTGAGGTATAAACAAAAACGAAAGCGTTATGCTTCCTTTCGCGAGCGCTGTGTGCGGTTTTCTCTCTGTAAGCCACGGTGACACCGCCACATCTTTGATCTGCGCCGCACCAGAGAACGCCATTTCCAGTCCCGTGGCCATCTGATCCACTCGTCTCGGGGTCCCACCACCTGCCCCTGGCGATGACGTGGACGTGGCCCATGTCCGATCTATCGATGCGCTGACGACTTGTTTGAAAGCGTGTCCTCTTTGCTTCAGGCACTCGATTAATTCAGCGTCGACGTCATCTTCCACCGCGAGTGGGTCACTGAAATGAAAAGAAGAGGGCCTAATGTACGGAAGCTTGTTAGGAGGACAGGCACTTGTGCGATTGGACTTAACATGTACCTTACGTCCATTTTATATCTGGCTCATTAGAGAATGACAGTAGGTAGCAGTCTCAAGACGACACAATTTACACTTTTGGACCTGGGCACTACGTAGCACACAATCCTATACAGGTCTATAAAATAAACGTGTAAAGGGTAAATACCTTCTTTAACGAAAATAATCCCTGGAGAAGGGAAATGGGAGGGACAAAAGTACAAACACAGCTAGGTAATCGTCATTCTTGTCCAGCCCGCTCGCACCTTTGCATTTACTTGCATTTTAATAATAACATTCTTTAATTCGGCATCATCACCTTCGCGCTACATTGTTAAGGCTTGCCTAACGAGCATAGTGCTCCCACACTAAAAAAAGAGACTTCTCGGCGTAAACTATTTTGTGCTACGTCACCAAGGCTAGCGTAGCCTCCCCTCCACGGTACTCCAGCTTTGTGATTGCTTTACTTGGTTTCACCTTACGTCCAAACGCAGCAGACGCTACGAGGTAACGGAAGCAATCAATCGGCGTGAAAAGCGCCAGTCACTGGGCCATTTTTCCCATGATGAATTAACCTGAGATTGAGCAAAACATAAGAGGGGCAGAAAATTGGCAAGACGACACCTAAAAGTAGACAGGACGACGGAGGAAGTTCTGGCCTTCAGACGTCGTTCTGTCCATCTTTTGTCCCTTCTACGCTTTGATGTTTCTTTTCTACCCCGGGCTCAGGTTACTTCAACGTGGTGAGTACTCATCAGCTCGCCTGCACCCTTACTGTATTTTCTCCGGGGCCTTTGATGATTAGGATTGGTTCAGTGATGATCGAACGCGTACAGAAACATGACGAACACCATGATGGTGCGCTTTTAACGCTCTCTGATCCATCCCCTCTGCTCATAGCGTCGACTACGCCAGGACTTAGAGGGATACTGACAGGGTACTTATGCTCGCCGATGTCTTTAGTTGCCCATGACATATGAGAGCCCAAGTATCCAGAATACAATTGGCAGCTCGAAATTCGGTTTCTTTCCGCTCCAATACCGCCAATCGAAAACTGGCCGGTTTGAGTCACGCTCACTTTCTTCTCTGTGGTCACGAGCCGTTTTCTAAGGTTTAGACACGACCACCAAATTTAGTCGAACTCGTGGGTCATTGAAGACACACGCTCAATATCCAAAGTAGAAAGAAACCTGAAACCCATTTTCGTGGCTTCTAAATTCTGCAAATACGTTGATTGAAAACAAAAAGTTGCACAGAAAACCGGAAGCCTTCTGTGCGAGCACTAGGCCTCAGTGCTCGCTCACCTTTGTTATGTTCCCAAGTGTTCCGTGCGGAGCCGCGGGGCGGGCCAACGTGGGCTGCGGGCTCGCAATACAACTTTCCATAAAAGCGTATTGGTGCGCGTTCTTTGCTGTCTTTGTGTGTTCTGTACGCACAATTTCTGGCTGGCCGCGATTGCGAGCGAGCACTGGTTGCACAGGGATTTTGCACGTGTGGACTGTGATTTTTGGAAACAGTGGAAACGCCTATAGTCAAAAGTACAGACAAGAGGGAGGCGCACATGAACACATTTTAATTTATCTGAATACGGCGGTGCTGTTAGCTCCACTATTCAGATGATGTGACTCCAGGATTTGAGAAAAGCACTTTGTCTCAACTAATCATGTTCAGACGCAGCCGATGCTACTAGCGCCAGCATAGCGTTGAACGGTGCTTGCACTGCACGAGCGCGCGTTCTTGGCAGGGACGCTGAAAGTCCGGTCCTCGCGCTCTTGGGTCGCGAATCAGCCCACGCTCTTGGGTCGCGAGCAGACGCCACGCGCGGAGGATCACGAACTGATTCTCCGCTGGGTATAAAGGTCCCTTAGGTAAAGGTACCTTTATGGTCGTGTGAATGGGGTATTAGACGAGGCAGAGGGACAGCGAATGGCTTCAAAGTGGTCTGGGATCGGAAACATCGCAATGAGGGATGCTGTAACAACTTGTTATAAGCTGAAATCAACGTTACTAGATTAGCTCAGTTACGGAACTGCTCATAGACGCTGCATGCACAAGCAGTACCCCCCCCCCACCCCCCCCCCCCCCTTCACTCACCGAGACTCGCCTGCCGTCACTCGACGCGCCGGACGGCTGCTTTGGTAACTGCACTGTATCCTATCGGATGCGTGGATTTGAAGCACGGCGTCTGAATGGAATTTCAGCTCTGCTTTTTGGAACGCGCACTTATGAAACAAAAATCTTGATGGCGCTTCGAACGACGGCAGGCGGATTCAAGTGAGTGAGGGGGGGGGGGGGGGGGGGTACCGCTTTTCACGTGAGTTCCACAATTGAGGTAAACTAGTAACGTTGGCTGAAACGAAGTAATAACCATGGCAGCGACCTTTGAATACAGAGCTTCGGATTCGAATCCACCAGCGCTCCCTTTGGGCCCGAAGTTCCGATGTCAAAGTTGTCAGCAGAAACTGCGAGACGGCAACTTTCGACGAGGCTGGTTTATAACTTCATTTTGGGCGAACCTTGGGGCAATTTCGTTCTCATTTATTATTTTGTATCAGTGTGGCGCATGAAACGTCATTAGGCGCACAATGACACGATTGGCGCAGCAGTTCCATCCCTTCAAATTAATCGCACGGCAAACGGTACCCGCAACGCTGCAATGCTATCTGCAGAAAGCAAACAAACAAAAAAATTTAAAAAAAAAAAAACACAGAGGAGAAGAAAAAGCGCGTTTAAGTGTAGCCTTCTGATTTCCGACGCACGCTCCACCTCCATATCAATCCGACATCCGTGCACAAGTTTCGTTTTCGGTTTCGAGGAGTTTCGTTTCTTGGCTTTATTAAAAATATACGTGACTCTGTAGCGAAATATCGATTGGGTAGTCTTCTGACACCATATTGGATAGCCTAATAAAATAATTAAAAAATGAATTTTTGGAGGTGTCAGTGTTTCTTTAAGGTGAAACAAAGTTTAGTTGCGCGAGCGCATGCGAATGATACGAAAGATGAAACCCTGTGCCTTTCCAGCTGCACGGGTCTGCAGCACTGTGCAAGTTACGCTCGCCTTGGCCACGTAACACGATCTGGTTGACGCCGAGTGTAGGTTGACAAGCCTTAGAGATAAACCTCCATAAAGAAAGCAACCGCACGGATTGGACACGGCAGCAACGTCAGCTATCGGCTGGGATTTATGTCCTCGCCGATTGAACACGAGTTCCACACGAACGCTGACGCTGCACTCCTGTCCAATCTGTAAACTCGATTTTGCAACGCAGGAAACTTCAACACTAATGCCTCCTTATCTAGCGGGAGTTGGGAGAGCTCCGGTACGCTGAAAATGGTAGCATCAACAAAATAAACAAGCGTAGAAAAACCAGCAACCAATTTAATGTTGTTAAGGACCCTTTTGGTTTAGTATCCTCAGTATCTAAAGTTCTGCCAAAGCGCCACGACGTAGTGCGCTCAATTGCTGGTTTTGAAAAGATGCGCGGACACAATCATTACGAGCCCATTTCTCACTGCCGCCAATTTGGACATAAAGAGGCCAGTGTGGTCTTGCGTTAATGATCCCTACAAACCATATGCTCACATTAGTACACTCCATAGTCCCCGACCAGCGAAGAAGTGCAGGGCGAGGCAAGCATCTTATCATCACTCCTTAGACTATGAGATCGCGATAGAGGCCGAAAAGTATTTGTCGCGATCTCATCGATGAGCCACACCCGACGTTTCTTAAACAGTTGGCGAGAAGTTAAAAGTTTCGTAATTAAAGCGGACCTATCACACACCGTTTTAGAGCAGGATAAACTCCTGCTGTCTTAACACTGATACCGTATTATTTGTTTTGAACTTAGCAGTAAAAATAAATGACCTTAGTAGCATTTTCTTGTGAAACATTTCTTTTTCTTTAGTCGCTTAATTAAAGTTGGAGAAACAAAACATAATAATTTTGACATGTAGTATGGAATATCTATAGAACGGTGCCGGGAGAGAAGAGACAACACGAATCTTCAAACACAGCTGAATAAAAAAACCCAAACAGATCAGAGGAAAACACGGGAGATAACGATGACGTCAAGCGTGCTCAGGCAGGATACACGTACCCCAATTGGGCACACATCAGCCCCCCCCCCCCCCCCCCCCTTCCCGCCCCCTCCCCCAGACTCCGCAACAAATGGGTGGTAGATTGCAGCTCAATACCAACAAGAACAACTGCGAACATGGTCAAGGTGAAGAACCGAACGACCGCTAAGCAACCAAACGAATGAGGTTAACCAACTACTAGCAGAACAAAATAAAAGCTGTTTTGGGCTGAGAAACGTTTTCATGTTATTGCCCGGAGAAACGAAGTTGTTGGCAAAAACAAGTCGCGTGCCTATCTATCATCAACTAAAACAACATAGTTCCTACAGGAAAAGATGATTCGCTAATTCTGAACACTCACACGTGTTTTGCACCGCTCGTTCATGTTCAATTAACCTGTCCTTAAGTAACCTAGAGCACAATGAGCGATGAAAAACAAATTCGAGGGTTGAGAATCGACGAATCATCCCTTTTCCTGTTGCAATTCTGTCGTCAGTTGGGAAAATAGTGAAGTGCTCCACAGGGAAGGGGATTATTACAAACGCTTTGTGAGAGTCGTTGAATTTTTTTTAGCAACATGTCCGTTTCTCTAAGCAATAGCATGGAAACGTTTCTTAATCTATGCCCGTTTTTGATGCGTTACCATTATTACCTACATGAAAGCAAGATTGTATGTCGTCCATCCGGGGACCAAAGATTGGAAAGAGAAGCGCGCCGCGTAGAGAGCAGGAGAGGAGTGAACGACAAAGACGAGAAGGATGTGGCCTCATGGGGCGGAAGCCAATGCGGATGCAGAGCGAGCCTGAACCTGCAAGTGTGCGCAGCGCGTATGCCTTGGGTTGGGCTACAAAAGGGAGTCTGAACC